AAGAAAAGGAATTTTCACCAGACTAAAATCATTCAATGATTGCATTTTATTTAAAGAACACAAGAATGGCTCTGCTGAATTGAATCAAAAGTCTCTTGAGCCTGATACTTGTCTCCAGCACTGACCAGTAAATGGCCCTGCCTATGCTCTTACCCTCATCATTTTATTTATACGAGACTTTAGATGGACAGAGTGAAGCCACAGGACCTCCTCATGGATCTCCTCAAGGAAAAAGAGCTTCTCAGCAACTGAAGGCCTATCTGATGTTTTTGGGCAGCATCCACCAGCTCCCACGTGCCTTCAGAGCTGGAGGGTTCTGCCAGCAACTTGCTATGACACTTCCCCTGACAATTCCCACACTTGAAAATTCTAATCTTCTGGCTTTCCTCCCTGTTTCCTTTCCTTTTTTCTGTTCCCCAGATTTATTTCGTCTCTGAAGGGTCTTTAAAGTTGTTTGAGATGGGCTTACAGCCACCCCTCCCGGAGGACCAAGAGGAACAGCAACAGTAAATCATGCTTAGGCAAAGACCATAAAACCAAAACAAAATAAAACAAAATAAAACAAAATAAAGGCAACATAGCAATACCTTCTCCATTAATAAATGTTACTAGCTTTGTAATATTTATACTAGAGCAGATACAGTTTGTTGATTATACTATTGCCACTCAGTGGTTCTGCAGAAACAGAATGAGGAATTAGTAACAGCATCCTGGGAATTCTTTAGCCTCCTAAAGTTTTTGCTTAAATCCTAAGTTCTGCTTGGTAGCCCTGTTGGCAAGTGTGATTCATGAATCCTCCCAACCATTTACCCCTAGAGTCACCTCATCTCTCTCGTGCTACAACAGCAAAGCTGAGTGTTTATCACGTTCCACAGAATGAGGTGTCTGCTCTGGTAACAATTCCATTATTCCCGCTGAGTCCTTGATTTATTCTAGCTATTATTCTAATTATTTTCTCCGACCACCTGCTACGTGAGGCACTGCGAATCGCTCTTAACTGTTACCCTTGCATTTGCCAACAGTAAGTAGCAGTGTGTGTGTCTGTATATGTACACTACCCGACACTCCTGGCACAACGACATGGGTGGTGGGAGGAAGCAGAGCATAGTCCCTCCCTGCAGCGTTTTCCCATATGTGGAATGGGGTGAAAAGACCTGAAGTTGAAAGGAAATCCTCTGAGGCTATAAAAAGAATCAACAGTAAGGGAAGAAAAGAGGCATGACAGGGAAAGGAGTGGAGAAGCACAACATAACTGGGACACAGGTCTAGTACATCCACTCTGTTTAAAAAAAGTAACTGTAATAATCTTCATGATGAAGGCAGGCAAAAAGCCAGTCATCTGACACTTACTGTAAAAAAGAATATATACATATAATGAAAGATCTACCTAATATACTCACTCCTATCAATAAATTAAAGTTTTGAATAATTACTAATAAACTCTCCAGGAAAACAGTTGCTATACACACACACAACTCTGAAAACCTAGATACGCTTGCAAAAGAGTAACTGATGGGCATCCTAGCTGCTGGCTGGGAGTAGCAGGAAACACTTCAAAATCAATAGGTCACAAGGGACAGAAGCAATGTTACTCTTGAAACCATAATTACCTGTTCAATTTGAAGAAGCACCCAGTATTTTTAGTACGCAGTCAGCACAATCAGGAAGTTATTATCTTCCCAGGAGAAGCCCCTGTATTTAATATATCAACTGGTAATGAAGGCAAGGTGCTTAGACCTCCTTCTAAAATCATTTTGGTTCCTTTTTGTCCTACCTTTCCCTGGTCTGAAAAGCACATGGCTAAAGAGGAGGTTAGTATCACAACAAATAAAGTTATTTTCTCCAAGGTTATTTAGAACTACCGCAAACGCAAAAATCTGTAAGGATCCTTGATAAGGCGTAGGTGTCTTTGTCCCAAAAAGTCAGAGGTATCTTATGTTTTTGTGAACTAGGAGAATACTGCATAAAAGAACACTACTGCTGCTCATGAACGGCTTAGTACTGTTGCAAGAACACAACAGATGCTTTCCACTTGGTTCCTCTCTTCACTCTCACATTATTTTTATGTAGAAGTGTCTAAATATTTACCAGTATGGACTAACATTTATGCAGCACAACATATAAGTAAGTTGTTTTAATAACTCGAACCCATGATATAAAATTTTAAGATAGGAAATAGAGAATGTACTATCTAGCTGAATCCCTGGGAAAGACAGAATTTCTGTCTGCTGAATACTTCTGTTATGTTCACCAGTGCAGGACTGTGGAAAAAAAGAAAAAACAGAGGGTTGTTTTTACCCTCTATTCTCTCCTATTTGAGACAAAGGATCTTTTAAAAATAAATCAAAGCATTTAAGATAGGATGAGAAAGGCGGAGGAGAAGGCAAAAGGAAGAGTATAGCTGTCTCTTGTTTACCATTCCATCTTGAAACATGTCACAGTGATCCACAACCTCTCCACTCTCATTCCCTGCAGCTCCATTTTCTGAAACGCACCGTGATCACTTACCCGGGCATCAACTCTGCAGCTGCCTCTTTCGCACAAGTCTTTTTTCATGCGCTATCTGATCGCAGGGGGGACCCTGTGCACCTCTCTAACACAGGCATTTTTGATTCCTTCTTCTCTCCTTTCCCATACTTCCTTCTCTTTAAAACAACACAGGTATAATTCTTCTCCGTGTTGATGTGATCTATCACCTCTTCCCCACCAGCCCGCCTCTCCAACTCCCATTTCTCTTCCTCACTCTGCAGCACTCACATTACTTCTGAGGGCTTCATCCTCCACACTGATTACTCATCCTCCAACTCCTCATCTGTATGCTCACTGGCACCAAATCTTAATTTGATCTGTGAGTCCTGCTTCAAATTTCTGAACTCATTAACAGGGCTGTCACTTGAGCTGGTCTTCACCCCATCACCCTCTCTGTACTCTTGAATTCCCCCACTTAAACTATCAGCTGGTTTTCTTTTTCCCTTGCTTATCATTTCTCTTTCTGGCCCTTCAACCAGCCTTTTTGCCAATTCCAGCCCTTCAGCAAAAAATTCTGATCTTATCTTAACCCTTCCTTTTCTAAATTGAAAAATTTCTTAATTCTTTTTGGGCCTCATTCTCATCTACTCTCACTTTTCTCATCCTTCCCCATCACAACGTGCAAATTCTTTCCTGCCGTGTCCCAGAGCTGGCCCACCATCAACATTGGTTTTCCCAGCTCCTAAAGCCAAGAGACTTCTCTGGCAGACATAGTCTAACAAGTTGACCTTCTCTGCTCTCTTTTCTCCTTCTCTTGCTTTTTCTATGCTCCACTATTTTCCCAGCTTTCTTTTAACCCCCCCTCTCACAATTCCAGCCTTTTCATCACGTTCTTGTCTCCTCTTTCCAAAAACTTTGACTTCTGCCTCTTCTATTTCTGCAAAAATTGTCATTAATAAATGGACAAAATACAACATGGCATTACCCTTCCCCTAACAAGCAAGGGAGCCTGCTGGCCTGCAGAAACGGAGGCAGTTCAGCATCACTTGAAGTTATACCTTCCAGACTCCCTAAATCTCCTGCAATGAGACGGGAGCAACTTCAGATCTGACAGTGGAAAAGCCTTAGCCATTCATCATGAATAAGCAGCAGAGAATAATAATCACTAAATACTTTCTGTGGAAGCTTGTAATTCTGCCTTAAATAATTCCTCCCTCTTCAGTTTTACATCTTGCAAATACCTTAGCTTACCGTCTCCTCTTTGCTGGGTCTTACCCAAGGTTAGGTCTTTAAATCTTTTAGTCAGTATTGCTATTCTTCCACTACAAATTCTCTCCAGCCTAATATTACTTCAGTAATGACAGGCCCATAAAGAACCCAGAACTACAGCTGCAACTTCATGAGATATTGAAGTAAGGGACTCAGGTTCTGCCATACCCTGCATCACAAGTAATTCTATTGAAAACACAGCTAATGTGATGCCCACCCTCTATCTCCTTCAGCGTTATAAGAAGATAATCCAGGAGCAACAGAGTCCGGGGCAGGAATTTTGAGTTAACTTTCAGCTCTGTCACTGACTTCACCTCTAGTTTTGTGCACATCACTTTGTCCCAGCCTCTCACTTTGTCACACGAACATAGTATTTGCTGTGTGCTATGACATTATGTTTATGAAGAGCTCAAGGAATTCAGCACAAAACCTCTTACAAAAAGTACCTACCACAGTTTTCAGAATTTCCTTCATTTACTGTACAGCTGTGTTTTAGATTGCTTCTTTCTAGACGCGCCCGTTTGCAGCGTACCAAGATAAACCACTGCTTTCTGCCTGTACTTCTAATCAATATATTCCATCGCATTGATAGCTTTTTAGTGCCAGAAAGCACCTAGTCTGACCTTGCACAGAAATATACCTGTGATTCCCATACCATGACTGCAATTTCTGCACTATTTTAAAAAGATGACCAATATTGACTTAAGAAAAAATTAAATAATGACAAAGAAATCTACCCCGCTACTAAATAAAGTGGTTAATCCCCTACACTGTTTACCATTTGCTCTTTTTCTCATTTCAATTTCTCTAGAAATAATTATATATTTTCTTCCACATCATTGATAAAGATATTGAATAGCACTCAGCCAAGAACAGAGATGCTATATAATACACCTATACATTGCAATTAATTACCTTCAAGATAGTATGCTTTTAACTTTGAATCATGCACTATTCTAAATCCAAGGAAAGAAAACCACCTTGGAAAAAAGTAAGAGCCCTAGTTAATATTGGAAGAGCTATATTCCACAGAGACCCGAGTGACTCAGTCTTTCATGAGGCAAGGATATAATTTTCTGGATGAAGTAGTTCAACAAATCTTTCTCACCCTCCACCTTCAAAAATGAATTTTAAATTATTTGTCCTTAAGAAACAATTCTGGCCTGGATCGTAACCAATAGCTGAGCTAAGAAAGAGAAGCAGCATTAGATGACAAAGCTGGAACACACTAGAAACTACCGGTTATTTTAAGTTATACTCACAACAAACTGGTCCATGTCCCTTTCAAGACCCATGTTTGGTAGATCAGGCATCATGTGCGCCACCACTTTAAACCCGGCATCCTTGGCTAAGTGAAAGGACTCGCACACAGCCTTCACGGTGTGACCTCTGGGAGGAGAGAAAAGGGATTCAGGATCACACAGCAAAAGACATATTTTGATATGTTTAATTGAGATTATTCTCTAGGAATCGAGAAGGGTTGAGTTTTATTATCAGTTTATCACCACTCAAGTCTTGGAACACAGCTGCTAACAAAATAAACTACCCTAGAGGCTAAAAGTAGTCCAGTTTGCTACCTCTATAACAGGTGAACCCTACCACGGCTACAGCTATTCAAATCACAGCCTGAGAAACCTTCGAAAGCTGCTGAAATTCAATTTGTAAAGCAACGACACAAGTTGATGCCACAGCACAAGCTAGGACACACTGCACTTAAGACTGTATGATCAAAATGAAGCATAACCAGAAACAAAAGTAACAGAAGATCAAAAGGAGAAGAAGGATGGGGGCTACATAAAACCAGCTAGCTAGAAAATCATCCCGCAACATGCTTGCCGAGCTCTCAAGTACTCCCTTGAGAGAAACACAAACTCTTCTCAACTTCTGAGAGGTGCCAAACGCCCCAAACATTGGCTGGATTGGGACTTTTGAAGGATTTCATGTTCTCCTCCACCGACATCAAACCAAACTAGCTCAGGCTTGCTCTGCAGGAGCTGGGAGAGAGTGGGAGCACGAATGATTGCAGGAACAAAGGTTGAACCTCACATAACTCATTAGCCTCAAGCAAACTCCTCTCTCCTTCCATCTCCATGGCTCGGGAGCTGCCTTCTGCCTCCACAATAGCAATCCCTATCACCACAAACAGCTACTAGGAAGTCCCCATCACGTGTGAACAGTCTTCCCACAAAGCCCTTGCTTTTGCTCTTCTCCATCTGGGAGGGCTCTTCCACTACTGGCTGACATTTCTATCCTCTCAGCATCTGCTACCTTCTTCCCTCTCCAATCCCCATTTTCTTCCCATCACACTTTCACACCGGTTCACCCTGTCTTTTGGAATTCCTTGCCAACAGATTAGCTCAGCAGGTGATTCTTCTTCTCCTCGATGGTCCTTTGGATGAAAAATTAACACCATCTGGGCATCTCTAGAAATGCATGCCTTCTGCCGAAACCTAACTTAACCAAACTAAACAGCTACTTCCATTGTTTTAAGGTCCTCTTCTTTCCTCTCTACTGGAAGATTCTGCCTCTGTTAAACCCCTACATGTAGTTTTATGACTATAGTTTTATTTATGTTTTTTTTCAGAAGTATTACGGTGTTTTTCTGAGACTGTTCAAGGACAGTATTACTCAAGTCCTTGAGTAGCCTGAGGGGAGTAAATGGAGACTTGCTTCATAAATAAAAATTATTTTCTTATTAGAAGTGGAATTTGAGCTGCATCAATAACTTGATTATTTGATGCCTAGATCTGTTCTTGAATATTTTTCTGCCTCACAGCCACCAAAAGCACTCAAAAACCTCACTAATGACTTATGGAACATAATAGAAAGTAATTTCCAAACAGTTAGCCTAATTGGTTGTAATCTGACATTTTGCTACAAGCAAAATATTAAAAGTTTAGAGCCAAAACACATCGCCCACAAAGTAGCAGAAGAACAGAAGCAAAATGAGGTCATTTCAAAAGAAAAAGAAACTTGAATCACCCTTCTCTAAAAGTATATTCCAATTCATTGTTCTAAGAAGTCGGGGGGAGATATTTGAGTGAACAGCCTGCGTTTTCCTTGCTCTGTGACAGCCTGCAGCAAAGCCTTTTAGGAATTCTGCAAGCATTTGGCACTTTGAAAAGTGCCAAAACCCTTTAAAAATATAATTCTATACAGGATTACTTCTCAGTGAAATCAAGTCAATGATATACTACTTCATTCTTCTTCTGATTCATCAGCAGGTTTTAAAGCAAGGGTTCATTAGCAAACGTACCAGTCAAAAGTGACATACAGCTTTGAATGATTTATGGTACCAGTTCTGACGTGACAGACAAAACTGGAGGAAAAAGCTAAGTGGGGTTTTACAGTTCCACCTCAGGATGGGACACCTTTAAAAGATTTGAGGTGAAAAAAAGATTTTAAAAGCTGAAGAGAAATTAATTGTTAAATTTACAATCTGTGTCAGAATTACCCGTTAATGAATACATCTAGTCTAAGAGTGAGATTTAGCTACATTCCTTAGTATGGACCTTTTCCTTTGGAAAGCTCTGACATCTAGAGGAGGAAAGTACCACCTATAAATATTAGCTCTTAACTCTTGGATTACTCAATAAATGGCTTTTCCTGTCTACTGAGACCTGAAGCCTGACCATTTCATAGCAGTGACAGCCTGCACCTCCATGCACCAGCAATACTACAGCTAAACCTGCAGGAGGAAACTCATTTTGGATTCTTTAAGCCTCTAAAAGAAAACGTCCAACATTTTCAGTTTTGCACTACTGCCTTTAAGGTAGATATTAGCAAAAATGTGCTTTGCTTATTGAACCATAATCTCTGTCATTACGTATGATTACGGTTATTAAACATCTTTGGTAGGTGACTGGCATATGCAATAAGAATGAAGGCAAGCTGTACGAGTGTTAGAAGTGAAAAAAACAAGAAAAAAAAAATCACTTCTTTCAAAATCTGAACAGAATTATGAGACTTGCAATAAAAAAAGACTGGCTTACTTGTCTGTAAGGGACAAGATGAACAATGTGTTGCGCACTCTCCTACGTAGGACAACTGTTCTTTTAGCCATAGGTCCAGTATGACAAGGAATAAATCACACGCCTCTTGTGAATATATTTTGCAATCCCTAGAGATACTGTATGCCTAGAATGACTGTGGTTAATCTTTCAACAGGTGTTGTTTCTGCTATGCCTCACCCTCTGTACTTGCCAATGTCATCTCTCCTCTCCAATACTCAGCAGAAAAAGGTATCTGGTGTAGAGAACGTGCTGTTTGCTGGTAAAGTACCTCCAAGAGATTATAATGCATTGTGTCTACTCAAGCCTATAGATTCAAGATTGTGAATTATGTAGGACAAGAACTATGAGCTCTCTCTGGGCACATGTTCTACTTCACAAAACTGCATTTATTTATGAAGCAATAAAAAAAAAAAAGAGAGATGTACAGTACAGGAAAAGAATATGATTTTAAAATAAAACATCACAAATAACTCCATTTTCTCAAGCCATGGTCTACAGAATATCACAAAGAAATCCATGAAGCCACTGCATTTTTTTAGCTTTTCTTAACAGACATACAGCCACACAAACAAGGAAATGCGCTAAACGTTTCAACATTCAATCTTAAATGGGTGTTCAAGCAAACAGGTCAAAGCACACTACTCAAGAGTATTCCAGAAAGCATACAGTGAGCAGCCACGCTCAGCTTTGCATTGAAGCTTTCTTCTCACCTGTTGGTGTCCCTGGCCACGTCCTCGTACACGCTCTGCACTCCGATCTCCAGCCTCGTACAGCCGTAGGATAACATGTCACTTAAATGCCGCTTCAGGCAGTAATCTGGTCTGGTCTCTATCGTTATCCCAATGCATTTTGTCAAGCTTCGTTCTGAATACCTGCAAAAAGCACCATCCTCTATTAAAATCGTGACGTTGTCGCAAGTGACTTCAGAAGAGTTTCCAACATCTTCCAGCTGAGAGTTTCTATGTCACTACCAGGATTAAAATCCAGGTTAAAACCCTCAAATATCCCAGCAGAAAGGGAACCCTCAACCATGCAAAGCATGGATGAAACGATACACAAATAGGCACACTAATACAAGTCTGGGGTTTGCTTTGTATAAAAGAGCACTGGACTGTGGCAGCCTTGCAGAGCTTTTTTAAACAGTCCTTGTTAGGAAGATGCTCCCAGACCAGACCGAGCCTTCAACACTCATCATCTGGAAACTAAGCCTGGGCAAAACGGAAAGTCAGAGTAGGCAATAAGAACCGTTTTCAGTTTTGGGGACAAACCAAAGGCACTCTGAGCACTCGCTCCCGCTCAGACACTGACCATAATACAGGACCTCATGTGAGAGAGAGTTTGGTACAGTCGGTACATTTTCATTTGATTCCCACGGTGTACAGATAAATGGCAGGAACTGGAACAAGATTCAGCTGCGTTCTCACAAGAAAACGTACAAGACTGTCTATGAAAAATTCCACAGATCACCTCCCTTCGTGAGCACGCTCTCAACTTCATTGAAGTCTAATACTGAAACAAAATTAATTGTTAACCTTTTTCCCCCTCCTCTCCCATTTATCACTGGATGTCTAACAGAGACTAATTATTCCAGCTAGTAGAAAAATCCTCTACTGATGACAAATGGTAAGTTATTGACCTACGAGAGAGTAAAACAAAAGAAAAAAGGAATACAAAGCAGTCTTGAACCAAAGTTCACAAAAAGAAACGATCAATCAACATAATCTCCAACACCACCAGCAAGGATAATATTCCTTTCCATGTAGGAATCATTTCACGTGACCGTGCAGAATATGGTGGTTGTGTAACAGAGGACTGCAGCACAGGAGAAAACATTTACAGCAGGAAGGAGGAAACTTCTTCTTTTGAAACCATTTGAAACTGCTGAGAATCTGGATAATTCCCAAACCAGGATGTGGCCAGGATTAACAACCACTGTTTGAGAGGAATATCGGTCTCTTTAATGGTCCCAAATGATGAAGATCTCAGTATTAATATTAAATGTGGCTGAAAAGAGGACACCTTGAGTAAGAGAGAGATGTTATGCTGATACCTGAAAGAATACTGCACACCAAAATCACAAGGACGACTAACTTCACCTTTTTATTAGGTGTTCTATAAAGATTCATCATCTGATTTCCAGCTCCGGATAGCTGGAAACTTCTGAATCAAAATAAAGCTCCAGAGCCTACCTTAGAGCATGATGGAGGTCCAATTTGACAAAAAAACCAAAACAAAACAAAAACCTAAAAACCCAACAAACACTACCGTGCCCCCCCCCCCCCAAAAAAAAAAAAGAAACAACACAGCAAAAAGCCCAAATGGGCTCAGACTCACAAAAAAATATTACCTCCCTTCAAACTGTTCAAGCCTAAGATAGATAAAGACCAACATATTTGCAGGATAGACTATAATGGCTGTCAAAATAAGCATCCTAAAAAAAAAAAAAAAACAACAAAAAACCCACATAAAACATTTCAGAGTTTGTGGCTCACTGATCTGACAGACTAACAGAACAATTGTTTATCACATCAGGGAAAACATTGCCAACGTGTGATTCATTAACATCAGACTGAAAAACGCTCACTTTTAAAGACGTGATTTCCAAGAATTAAAGAAAGAAATTTTTGCTAAGGGGGGGAAAAAAAAAAAATATCACCAGATAACTCACCCATCACGCCAGAGAGTACGTGCTCACATTAAGCACCTGCAATCATGGCTAGAAATACTGAGGGGAGAAAAAAATAATTATATCCCCCTCCCAAGCAAATCTATGGCTAAGATTTAAAATGCTGAATATAACAAACACCAACACCTAAACTATAACATCTACTAGGGCACCAACGGGATTTAAGGATGGTGTAATGACTGGTAAAATTGTCTAGCCCAACTCTACGCTGAAAAGAAAAGCATGTCTTAATGATAACCAGAAAAGCAAAACAAAGATGAACCCAAAACAGATACAGTAACAAAGATGGCATTTCCAACAAAAGTCACAAGTCTCATCAAATCACCACCTTCTGTAAGACACAGACATTTTCAACCCGAGCCACAAGTCCTCCAGCTCTCCCCAGCAGTCCCGAAGACTTGCAGTGAGTAAACAGAGCGCAGTCTCTATTTTATTAACATAAAATAAAAGCTTCAATCACGTGGTCCACATTTAATAAAGACTACAGATTCCTTTCAACTAACTGAAAAAAAACGAGAAAGAAGTGTGTGACAGCCAACCTTCCACGGAAAGCGATTCTGGCAACACGTCTCCATCATTTCCTGAATAAAGAAAGGGAAATTTGACTTTTCTTCTGTCTTTTCTCAACTTTCAAACTTTAAACGCTCATTTGGATATTCAACATTTTTCCTATTTGCAAAACGAGCAACTCTATTTCATTTGAAACCTAAGGACATACTAAAACTAAGGACAGGCACAAATTGTAAGATTGTAAGTTAAGAAGCCAAACACAGAGTATCAAAAGTGGACATGATTTAAAAGCTTTACTAGATTTACATAACCTGTCATTTTATGGAAGGAGTTATCAAATAGTACCCATAAAAGCTGTACCAATCATCATTATGCAGCACAAAGCTGCATTATACAACTAAGTTAAATTTTTAATTTTTTAAAAACAAATCCGTCAGTGTTTAACATTTAGTTTCATCATTTCCATATGCACGATCAGCACCTCCTTCGCTGACCGAGTCAATGGTGAGCTAAAAGAGAGAAATCAGAGATCTAAAAAGGACAGAAAATACTATATAAAAGGTTATCTACTAAATACTGGATTTACATCAAGACAGACACTGATCATTTTTTTTTAATCTAATTGGCAAGATGTCTTATTTTAGAGCACAGTCAGGATCCGAGACAGATACTTACCAGCCAACAGAGAAAAAGAAAAGAGAAACTGATGTATGCTTAAAGGTAACACTTTTTTTTAGTGGCAAAAGGTTTTGGACTTTTTTTTGGTTTTATTTTTTGAGAAGTGTATCTTTGAAATCTGATCCTGATCTGCAGGGTCTCAAGTCAGATTTTTTATTATTAATCAGTGATTTATGTAACAATTTATAGTACATTGGCTATTTCAAGACTGACTTCGCTCATCTCCTACTTCCAGTGCCCGGGTTTCATCGTAACTGCCCACTGGAAACACGGTGGTTTCCCACATTTCTAGCAGGTTGGGGAGGCACATTTTTACCCTGGCAAATCCGTGCTGAATCCTCCCGGCCACCTTCCCGACCATGGAAGCAGCTTCCACAAAGACATGCTCCATAATGTTCTTGGGGACCAAGGCGAGGCTTACCAGCCTGTAGTTCTGCTTCTCACCCTCTTGAAGATGGAGCTGCCTCACCCATCCCCTTCCACAGACTTGCATGTGTCCAATTTGCCGGTGGTGTCCATGCGATCCTCTGCCATGAGCACTACCTCTCATCCCAAAATGCCACCTAGCAAGAGCAGATCTTGCAAATAAAGACGGAGGCAAAGAAACACTGCATACCTCAGCCTTTTCCTGTGTCCTTCATCACAGAGTTGCCTGCCTCATCCAGCAGCAGATCCACATTTTGTTTTGCCTTCGTTTGCTGACAAACATACCTATGGAAGTCCTTCTTGTTGCCCTATAATCCCTTGGAGTTTCAACTCCAGCTAAACTTTCCTAATGTGCCCTCTGCCTGCCTGTACCCCTCCGGGGTATCCCATACCTCCTTTCACCTTCTGCACACAGTCCTTTTTACATGTTTGAGCTCCATCAGGACTTCCCCATTAAGCAGTTAAGCAAAGCTGGTGACCTGTCGTGCCTGCTTCGTTTCCTGCACATCAGGGTGCGCTGTCTTTTCAATTTGAGGAGGTTGTCCTGGAAGATCAGCTAAGCTCACCTGGGCTTATTCACCCTTCAGGGCATCCTCCCATGGGATCCTGCCTTTCGGTTCCCTGGAAACGTTCAAGTCTGTTGTGCTGAATTCTGACATCTTTATTCTGCTACTCGCACCCCTCAGGATCTTAAGCTCTAACATCTCAGAGTCATCGCAGCCAAGACCACATCCCTCCCTCAACCAGCTCTTTGTGAGTAGCAGATCCAGGAAAGCATCTCTCCTAGGCACTGGACGAGCCAACTATTTCAAAATATCATCATAATGCACTCCAGAAGTCTCCTAAATTAGTTGTGTTCCATCATGTTGCCATTCTAGCAGGTATCAGGGTGTCAGACTAGATTCAAGGAGTTTTGTATATTGTTCATTAAGTGCATATATCCTAATACTTACATCATTTTCATAACTTTTCTTAGCACTATCTCCACTTTTTAAGCATTCTTCTTGTTGCCTTTGATACCAAAAACAGCCACAGAACTTTGCAGACACACCGGTACTATATCCAGATGGAATATGATTTGCCTATTCCTATCCAATTTTCCACTATTTATACAGTCAAGGGTAATTTGGCTGCTGAATCATACAGAAAGCTCATGATAATGTGACTTAACTCCTAAATATTTTCTAGATATTTCACTGCTTCTCAGAATAGAATCCTGTACCATTCCTAGAAAAACATCTTTACATTTTCCCATAATGAAGTACACAGCTTGCTCATATACAACTTACTATGGAATACAGGTTTATCCCTTATTTGCCCATCTCCAATATTGATAGCTCCTGCCAACTCTTAGAAATTACTATTTTAACACGAGTATTAAACACAGGGCCCAAAGGCAAAACCAACAGAATCCTGTTAGAAACCATTCAGGTCAATGACAATAATTTTCTGCTATGCCTGTTCTGAAAATCAATGTAATGGGTGACATGTTGTTCTAGTCTCTTTTTTAATGTCAAAATATCTCACTGTACAAAGTCAATTCTCTTGCAGAAGTTTATGCATATTACACTTCATTTCTCCAAAAACCCCTGCAAGCTGACTGACAGGATACAGTGACTTATCCTGATAATGAACATGACGCGTTTGCCTCCACTTAATCTTTAAAAACAACAGACATCTAGCCACATATCCTGCAGGAATGGCATGCCAGCCAAAGCAGATATGGAGAGGGAACAGACTCTATCCAACTAGGCAGACAGCCTGAAAAGCAGATATCTAGAGCTCTGAAGAGAGAGACTTCAGGATACTCAGACACAAGAGATTAAGACGACCTTGATGATGATCAAGACAAGCAAAACTATTACTAAATGAAGACCAAGAGAAGCAAAATAGAGAAAGCCCTGAGAAATTAGATGAACCCAAGTTGGAAACTCCACCCATGATGGTCTTGTTCACCTGATTGCCAGGTTCATTCTGGTGTTAATATTTATGATGTGCATTTCTTCTGGAACCTGAGAGTGGAGATGGATTTTATCTTCTCAAGCAGCAACAAATGTCTTACAGTATCTCTCCCCCTCCCCTGGAACAGTCTTATTTGTTATTTGTAATACAGCAGTGTTGAGGAACCCCACTTAGTCAAAAGAATAATCACAAATCAAGACAAGTGTATAGCACAAGATGACAGTGGGGCACTTTTAATAATGGACTGACCACAGAGGTGAATTATGCAAATAAAATAGATGCTAAGCCATACAAATGAAGGAAATGAGTTACAGAGAAACCTTAAGATTTGCACAGACATAGCTATTGTAAACTCAGTTCTTTTCAGCGTGACTACAGAACTGTCTGAAATAGGATGAAGTAAAGGAAAGATTATTAATTTTAATCATTAGAGAATATTTGACTGAATTTGCAGAGAAAACTGGTACCTTAAGCAGACCTTCAAATCAGAATCTGCCTCTAAAATAAGTTTGTTTTTTTCAGATCAAAAAGGCACCCAGCTCTCCACCAGACACAGCAGTTTGACAAAGGGTCTCAGGTATCTTCTCACTTAGAGAAAAAACATACAGCACAGTTCTGGCACAAAACAACTCATTTAACAAAGCCTCTACTCGCTCTCAATTAAACTTTGGTCTACAGACAAAAGTCTCACCAGCTAAGAGACCTGAACATCAAAGACTCGATTATTTACAATCCATACTACAGCAGCTTCCAAACTCCCTGCTTGCGATCAGTGGCAGGATGCCAGACAACCCGCCTCATCCCAACAAGCTCAGAAAAGATAAACTATAAGAATAAAGCAGGTGGGTTAACACAGTGCGTATACAGCACGTTAATCACATGCCTTTAAACCATTTATCTGTTTTACACATTTCAGAATAGGAGAGTACATAAAGAAGAGGCAAACGGAGAGATAGAAGAGCAGAAAAAGGCACAAGAAGCAGAAGAAACAGTTCAAAGGCAGCATCAAAGAGAACCAATCACCAAGAGCAAGAAGTGTTTAGGTGTACCCACCTATATGGAAAGAAGGGAAGGATCTAGAACAGCTCATCTAACCCAACAGTCCCCAAAAACTTGCCTGCAGGACATACCAGCATTACTTCAAAAGCCAAAGAAAACCTTCTTGAAGGTGAAGATAGAATAAATTATGAAGATGCTCGTATTACTTGATCACCATTGTTGCTAATGGATTATCCAACAGCAGCAATTTCCACAAAATGTGGTGCTCCATACTCATACACATCGCAATGAGTGCTCACAGCTTAGCTGGGAAGGGGAAGGCACGGCTGCTCATCTACCCTTAGCCTATCCCCAAGAAAAAAAACCAACAGTTGCAAACCTGCCTTAGAAGAGGTGCTTAGAGTCTTGTGGAAAGAGGGAAGTGTTGGAGGGCTGGGTGGGAAGATCAAGAATTTTAATCAGAGACCAAAGGAGTCCTCAGCAGAAAGTTCCTGGCCTTAACTTTGTGAACAACAAAGATTGTGAACATCCAGCATCTCAAACAAGTCTAACATCTTGGAAGAAAAACTTCTTGTTCCCTTGACTACAAGGAGCATGGTCCTAGGTGTAACACAATCACAGGTGTTCAAGACAGACAACGATGTCTATACAGGTGGAATTAAGACAAAAAGTGACACCATGGGTTTCTGAAGGGGAAACTGCTGATATAATACACAAGTATCTTACGTACCACATCCTCACCTATTACTTAAATGACCTCCCCCTTCTTGATCTCTAATAGCTCTGCTTTATCACAATGCCAATCTCTGAAACACAGCTAGCAATAATTAATTCAATATCTACAATTTCCTGCTAGTAAACAAAACAGGTGGCATCTTACTCATCCAATATGTTTCAAAAATTGTATGTTTGATGATTGCCCAGAGCAGATATTTGTGAAAGCTCAAATGCCAGTTATTTGGCTTCATACTGCTCCCTTTTTATTACAACATTTCAGTGTTTTCTTTATCACCACTACCAGGAGTATGGCAGACTGCTTTGGTTTCTTAGCAGCACCAGTTTCCCAAAGTTCAGTTTTCAAATACTGAAAAACCTACAGTTACTTAAAATAGTCATTTATTGACTAAAATATAATTTTCCAATTCTGATAAAGTAACAGTATTTATACCTGCTAAAAGATAAGTGAGAACAAATCCTTTTTTTTCGTGAAATGCCACTAGCAGATAAGTCATACGTAATTATGCTCCCTCCTGCTGTGTCACTTGGTGTTAGAAATCCAGGATAGGATCTGTGTTCAAAATAGTATCTATCCTGAAGCAAAAAACCTAGAACTTACCAGTTTTCTCTCTTTCTTAATTTGTTTACCAAGTTGTAACCACAATGAATAGACCCGACATCTGAAAATCCTCCAAAGAAAAGGCACAGCATGAGCGGAAGCAGCACGGTTATGTTAACACACTTCAGGCCTAATCAAAGTAGGGCTATTTGCATGGACTAATTAAACGCCTGGCTGTAACGACAAGGAGGTAATGATGTTGGCTATAGAGGGAACAGGGTGGGGGTTGTTTGGTTTATTTTTATATCGTTCACAGCTTTCATAGAGCAACGTCATGTAGAGGACCTCTGGGCACAGAGACTGGAGCTTTGCTGGAGAGACCCTGTCACTCACGACAGCCAGGATAGAGCCATGCACGAGAGCTGCTCTGCTCTTACCGTGCTGGGCTAATAAATGAACAATTATTTGGAAAGCCATGATCATTGCCTATTCTCGGAGGACGTCTGAGCAGACCCTGAAAGGCTTGTCTTAGCTCAGGAGGCAAAAAAAGGACATGGAACAGAAAACCCCGACAGGACCTTCTGACACTGCAGGCTTATTTTCTAAGCTCCCATCCATCAAGTTCAAGGCAAGAGCAATACAGATAATGTTTTTTTCAGCAACAAATTATTAGCAAGCTGTAACTGAAAACACCAGGATGAATAACCCTATGCTGGAGTGAAATATTTCGAAAAAGAAAAGTCGCATACGCGTGGGTCTAACAGGATCCGAGTTGCAACCTCTTTTTTACCTATGTCTGTCAAAACTAAGGGTTTAAGGGAAAAAAGCTGAAACAAGGCTAATATGGGCAAGAGTGTGTTTATCTCCTCCT